AGTCCCCATCCTCAGCCATCTCATTGGTGTCTTATTGACACACAAGAGAGCCTTTATAACTATTTCTTTTTTTTTTGGTGGGGGGGGCGGGATCTGGTCGTGGGCCTAAACTCTGGGCCTGGGCACTGTCCCTCAGTTCTTCAGCTCAAGGCTAGCGCTCTACCACTTGAGCCACAGTCCCACTTCCGGCTTTTTTTTTCTGCTTACGTGGTGCTGAGGAATTGAACCCAGGACCTCATGCATGCAAGACAAGCACTCTACCACTGAGCCACCTTCCCAGCCCCCTTTATAACTATTTCAAGGATTTTAGGAACTGTTAGGAATCTGGATGAGGACCAGATACATACATTTCACAATATTACAGATGGCAAAGACAAAAACTAGAAAAACAATTGGTTAACTTGTCATTTAATACCTCCTTAGGGTTCGTTTGTTTTTTTTAATCTATGTTCACACACTGTTAATAAAAATGCCTTCGTTATAATCTTGTGAAAGTGTATACCTGGATGGCCCGGATGTTTCATTGTTTCCATTTTACTGAAAATGAAAGTATGAGAGTCCCTCCTCCTTTTCCCCTTACGGTATGGATATGTAGCTGTGGCTGCAAATCCTGATCCATTCTAGTGCTGGACTTACAGCCAGGGGCAGCACACTCAGTTTAGAAAACCTTCCTTTGTGGCATAAGTTGTCTAGTATGCCAACAGATTCACTGCATCTCAAGACATTTTGTTTACTTAGTCTTAAATTTCTTCTGTTACAGTCTCCCTGGGGAGTAAGGTTAGTAATAACATTTATTGCTGTGCTTCCTCATCTTTACTGAGTTAGAAATGTTTTCCTACTGCCTTCTTTAGGTTGTTTTAACTGTACCAAGGGATCTGGAGAATTCTAAGTACCATGTCTTCTTTCCTTCTAATTCTTAGACATAAATTTTCAGGAGAGGTTAAGAGTACAAATGGACTTGACATATGGAAGAGTGAATAGGTGGTGCACTTCTGTAATCTCATCAGCTGCGAGGCTGAGCTGAGAAGGTCTTGAGTTTGAACCATTCTAGGTTATATATGATTTGAGGTCAGTTTAGTTTATATAGTGAGACTTTTTTTTTAAGTAAACACTTCATTGTATAATATGCAATGTTTTTTTCCTTTCTCTTTGTTACAGTAATCTACATTGAAAAGATCTTGAATTCATGAATTGGGTTTATATATAATGAGCTCCTGAATTGGTTTTGTCACTTGCTTTTTTTTTTTTTTGGTCATGGACCTGAACGCTGTCCCTCAGCTCTTCAGCTCAAGGCTAGGGCTCTACCATTTGAGCCAGTGTCAGTTCTGGCTTTTTCTGCTTATGTGGTGCTGAGGAATCGAACCCAGGGTCTCATGCATACAAGGCAAGCACTCTACCACTGAGCCAACTTCCCAGCCCCAGCACATGCTTTTTTGAGAACTACCTTGAAACCTTTAGTGGAACTCTATATCACTGTAGAGATGGACTGAAATCTTCATGTTGCAGTTTCACCTAGCTCTTACTCTAGTGTCCAAGTGATTTAAAAAAAAATAAAGATAAAGCAAGTCACTTATAAACATCAATGAAAAGCTTTCCCTCAGCTTAATTTCCTTGGACCTATAGGATAAATACCAAGAAAGTTTCATGTGTAAAGTTGTGAAGAGGCATGGGAACATGGATAATCTTAGTACTCCCTACAGATCACTAAAGAAAAATTACTTTGGAGACTTTTACTTGGGAAGTTGATTTTTATTTCCTGTGAAATGAGAATTGATTCTCTCCATAGGAACATGACTAGAAATGAACAGTAGAAAAACTTCACCTATTTACAAACGTAGACTAAGAATTAAAACAAGTGTATGTATACTCTTCTTGAAGTGATTTCTCTTACATGTTGGAAATACAATTTTTTTTATCTTTAAGTAGTTGTACAAAGGAGTTGCCATTGAGAATATAATTTTAATCAGGAAAATAGTATTAGGTTGTTACCTGGAAGGCACACCCAGACAGACTTGTAGGTTGTAATCTCAGCACATTATATAGTCTTTCTTTACTCTGTTTTTCCTTTGATACATTTGCACAAATAAAAATGGCACATTTTATCCAAACATAATTCTAATTTTCAAGTCATCCTTTTATTTCTATGTAAGAAATAAACTTCAGGAGGAAAAGTGCAGAATAGAAAGACTAGTTATAAAAGTGCCACAGATGTCATGAATGGCTACTGGTGGAGATTAGCTTACCATTTTATGAGTAGCAAATTGGGTGAAAAAGTACAGTAGCTGCTTGCTTCTCTCCCTTTCAAGTAGTGAATAGAGCTAATGTTACTTTGATTTGGTTTTAATTAATCTATGTAAAACACTTAAATTGGGTGTCAGTGGTTCACACCTGCAATCTAAGCAGCCAAGGAGGCTGAGATTGAGGAGCTCATTGTCTACACAAGAAGTCTACACATTAGACTTCCTGACCAACGTGTGGTGGCACATGCCTGTCATCCCAGCTTTGACAGGAAGCCTAAGATAGATTGCTATCTTTATGTGTACCTGGGCAGGAAATGAGACCCTATCTCAACAATAACCTGCACAAAAGAGGTCTGGTGTCATGACACCAGTGGTAGAGCACCTATCTCAACAAATATGAAGTCCTGAGGTCAAACCTCAGTACTGCTCCTCCAAAATTAATTAAGCTTTGTGTCAGGGAACATAATTCTTTTTGCCCTCCCCCCCCCCCCAGTAAGATTATATAGTAGATTACATAAAGTGGACTGAATTGTATTTCCTTGTTACTTTGCATGGAAAAAGCCATTTTCTGTTGAAAGAGCCCCAGTTCTGTTTGGGAGATGACTGTGTGGTTTTTAGCTTTTTTTATTTTTTAAATAAATGACCTGATATGTTGGCCAGTCTGTGGGCAAAGTCATCTCTTGAAGGAACTAGTTTTTTTGTGTTTTTTTTAATATGCAGCTGGCTATGAAATGCTCCTGCTGCAGCTTGTAGCACCTTTCTTGAAACCTGCTGATACAAAGTGGCTAGCCAGGTGTTTTGTTTGTGGCATCTTCTGTATTCTAGATACGTTTCTCAGCTTTGCCTTATCCTTTCATCGGTTTCATTTTTTCTGTTTTTATTTTGTTTTATATTGCCTTTAAAAAAATCCAGATGTGATGGAAACATAAATTATCTCAGTGAATACTAATTGAGTTACTTTGTGGGATCCTCTACAAAGTAAGGCCTTTGCTGGCTATCAGGGAAGCATCATATACATAATAGAGTAGATGATGCCTTTCAAAGAACTACAAGTGACAGTGTCTGGTGGTAGTTCTGTGGGTATGCTGAAGGAACAGTTACTAACAATGAAGGCAGGTCTCAAAATGGGTAGGAACTGAGCAGTCAGGAATGGGCAGGTAGGGGGCATCACTCTAAACAAAGGAATATAAGTATAAGCACATGTGATTATGGTATAGAAATGTATGTGTTTGTGGAGACGTTCTAGCACATTGGTGAGTGTGTAAGAAAGAATGTCACTCTAAAGAAAATTAGGTCCATTAGTTCCAGAACATAGTTTAAGTCCATAATAATTTCAGAACCATGAAGAATAAGAGTTGAGAAATGAAGAAAGACATTTTGGCTTGCCATATGGATTTAGATGAGTTAGTTGCTGACATTGAGCAAAGAGAATTAAAAGTGTTAGCATTTGACCACCAACTAGAAAAGTTTGAAGATTAAGGGCCCCCAGCATCTTTAAGCGAATAATAATAATAATAATAATGAGATCTTCAGCTGGAGCTGGAAATCTTAAGAACAAGCTGGTTTTGATTCAAGGCAAGTTAGACTTCAGATGTTGTTTTGTAGTTAAATGTAAAAGTGGAACTAGGTGAATATTTTGATGTCATCCCCCAAGTTGAACCATTGGCTTGACATTGTGTTTACTGTGTAATCAATCTCACTTCAAAAATATGAATTTTTTGGCAGAGCACAAAGTAAGTTTGGGGCCAGATATATGTCATCATCATGCTGCTTACAGCAATTCTCACGGAGCAGAAGTGCAGGTGTCATTTGGTTATCTGACTGTTGACAGTGATTACCTCGTAAAGGCACAGATACATTACCATCTTTTTAACATGGCTTGTTTTTCTGAATGTTATTTTTTAATTGAAGAATGAAATGATTATTTCATTATTTGATTATATTTGATGGAGTAATGTGAAGGAAAAGGGAACATAGAGGACATTTCTGAAATTTGAAGGAAAGTATGCTGAGAAAAAAGGACCTCACAAGCAAGTTGAGCCCTTACAGAATCTATTTACAGAGCAGAAAAGCAGGAGCTGGCCTGAGTTCATAGTGAAACTTAAACCTGATTTCCTAAAGAACACACACGAACACATGTTTCCCATTTGGGTCATTATTTTTTCAGTGGAATTACTTCGCATTCCTTAGTATTTGAATGGTATCTTTTGAGTTTTAAGGCTTATTAAAAAAAAGGTGCATGTGGCTGAGAATGTGGCCTAATGGTGGTAGAGTGCTTGTCTAGCATGCATGAAAGCCTTGGGTTCGATTCCTAAGTACCACATAAACAGAAAGAGCCAGAAGTGGCACTGTGGCTTAAGTGGTAGAGTGTTAGCCTTGAGCAAATGAAGCTCAGGGACAGTGCGGAGGCCCTGAGTTCAAGCCCTAGGACTGGCAAAAAAAGAAAAAAGAAAAAAGTGCATGTCATTACAAATATTGTCCTGCGGATAAGTTAGTATGTTGTGCCTGGACCTACAGTATTATACAATTACTTCGGAAATTAGAAAAACGAGTAGTATTTACATATAAAATGTTTTGTCTGGCCTCATACTCTTGACTTGATAAAACTTTATTGATCCTTAAGTGTAAATTGTCTCAAGGCTTAACCTCCAAAACATTGGAAATACTCATAATTAAAGAAAATCATAACTATTAATACAAACACATGCTTCAAAACATTTCATTCAGTAACCTTTTCTTTTTCCTTTTTTTCTCCTTTAGGGATATTTGTATCCAGTATTGTTCTGATCTTGTCACAGCGATCACTTTTCAAGTTTTACATGTACAGCTCAGCCTTTCTGTTAGCTGCAACTTCAGTGTTGGTGAATTATTATGCTGCTTTGCACATTGACTTCTATGGTGCCTACAACACATCAGCTTTTGGGATCGAGCTGCTTCCTCGGAAAGGGCCCTCACTGTGGATGGCACTTGTCGTTCTACAGCTAACATTTGGAATTGGATATATCACACTACTTCAGATTCAGTCCATCTATTCACAGTTAATTATTTTGGATCTGTTGGTTCCTGTAATAGGTTTAATCACAGAGCTACCATTACACATCAGAGAGACTTTAGTTTTTACCTCATCCTTGATCCTCATATTAAATACAGTGCTTGTCTTGGCAGTGAAACTTAAGTGGTTTTATTATTCTACACGATATGTTTATCTTTTAGTGAGGCATATGTATCGAATTTATGGATTACAGTTATTGATGGAAGACACATGGAAGAGGATTCGTTTCCCAGATATACTTCGAGTCTTCTGGCTAACAAGAATTACAGCCCAGGCTACAGTGTTAATATACATTTTAAGGATGGCAAATGAAACTGAGTCCTACTTTATTTCTTGGGATGATTTTTGGGACCTCATTTGCAATCTTATAATTAGTGGATGTGATTCTACCTTAACTGTACTGGGCATGAGTGCTGTAATTTCCTCAGTAGCCCATTACTTGGGTCTTGGAATATTGGCCTTTATTGGATCAACTGAAGAAGATGACAGGCGGCTTGGCTTTGTAGCACCTGTTTTATTTTTTATTTTGGCTCTTCAGACTGGTTTAAGTGGGTTAAGGCCAGAAGAGAGACTTATTCGCTTAAGTAGAAACATGTGCCTTTTATTAACTGCAGTCCTGCATTTCATCCATGGGATGACAGACCCTGTATTAATGTCTCTCAGTGCCTCCCATGTGTCATCTTTTCGTAGACATTTCCCCGTGCTGTTTGTCTCTGCTTGCCTGTTTGTCCTTCCTGTTTTACTCAGTTATGTTCTCTGGCATCACTATGCACTAAATACATGGTTGTTTGCTGTTACAGCCTTTTGTGTGGAACTCTGCTTAAAAGTAATTGTTTCTCTCACTGTTTATACATTATTCATGATCGATGGCTACTATAATGTCCTCTGGGAAAAGCTTGATGATTATGTCTACTATGTTCGTTCAACAGGCAATATTATTGAATTTATATTTGGAGTAGTAATGTTTGGAAATGGGGCTTATACTATGATGTTTGAGTCAGGAAGTAAAATTCGGGCTTGTATGATGTGCCTACATGCTTATTTTAACATCTACTTACAAGCAAAAAATGGCTGGAAGACATTCATGAATCGTAGAACTGCCGTGAAGAAAATCAACTCGCTTCCTGAAATAAAAGGGAGCCGCTTGCAAGAAATAGATGACGTATGTGCAATCTGCTACCATGAGTTTACAACATCTGCTCGTATTACACCTTGTAATCACTATTTCCATGCACTTTGCCTTCGGAAATGGCTGTACATTCAAGACACTTGTCCAATGTGCCATCAAAAAGTATACATTGAAGATGATATCAAGGATAATTCAAATGTGTCTAACAACAATGGATTTATTGCACCCAATGAAAATCAAAATCCAGAGGAAGCTATAAGAGAAGATGCTGCTGAATCTGACAGGGAATTGAATGAAGATGACAGTACCGATTGTGATGATGATGATGAAGATGATGTTGATGATGTTCAAAGGGAAAGAAATGGAGGAATTCGGCACACAGGCGCAGCAGCTGAAGAACTTGTTAATGATGACACTGATTAAAATAGCATTTACTAATCATTGAGGTATTCGTTTAAAATTCAGTTCATCCAAAATGAAGTAATATGCTTCACTTCAGTGTGTAACCAAGCACAAAAAACAGTATCAATGTTGAATCTGTGAATGGTTTTCCGTTTACTGTGATGTGCTACTGTAAATATACCTCTTTAATTACTTCTGGTCTCTTTGGTGACCTATTTAAATTTGTGTACATTATTGTACATAGAATAAAATGTTTTCACGTTTTTATGACAAAATTTGAACAAATAGCTTTTTAATAGATGTAATGATCATAAGGTGCGTCAACTGTGCCAAAGATTCCTCAATGAAATTTTATCATGTATCCAACTGTGGGCACTAGTTTTTCTTAAGAATGAGTGGGAGGATAAAAGTGTAAAATCATGAAATCACACAAAAGTCAGGTATAAAATATTTTGGACTAGAGGAGAAAGGTTACAGAGGTACCAGTCTTCTAGAAGTAATTTAAATTTTGAAATTTAAGTAGCAATATAGTTGATCTGAGTTCAGAAGTCACAAGTCAAAGGCAGAAAGAATTGAGAAATAGGCTTGTTTCAACTAAACTTTGGTATAAGCCAGGATGTGCTGTTGATATTTGTGTCATAAAATTGTCCTCTCAGACTTGTTGAGATTGCATAATAAAAATAGTGAGGCATTAAGTGATTTTTAAAAAATTGGATTGTTTTGTGGACAAATAATGAGGGGAGGAGGGTTGGTGCAATGATACATCTTTAGAAATCTCCCAGAAAATTCTCTTTATTGAATATGCAGTTTCATCATGAAATTTCATGTAATGGAAAATAGAAGACATACAAGTTAACATCAAGAAAAAAATACTTTAGTGCTGTTGTTGTATAACGTATTGGCTAATTCCAGTGGATCCTCATCTCTTACTGCTGACATTATCTCCAGTATTTGACTAAAAAAAAAAAAAAAGATAGTTAGCTTTAGCTTCCATGAAGGTCTTCTCTTTTAGGTCTTCGCACTTTTAACAAAGTATGTTGAAAGTAAAGTTTTCAGCGGTATCAATAGATAAACTTCACTTATTTTACCATCAATTAGTTCTGGAGCTCACCTCTATATAAAACAGAGCCAAGATCCAGGTTCAAGTAAATTATAAAACTGGCCTACATTATGTATAACACAATCGTGGTAGGTTAGCCCAGTAGAAATGAGTCCTGGTTTAGTTTAGCTTCATTTCCATTTGTAAGAGTGTAGTGATGTGACCCAGAGGGATAGCACCTAGAGTTTGCAAGCCACTGCTTTAGTCCTTTACATGAACTGGGAGCACAGTGACAGTAAATGTAAAAAAGTGAAGAGGGCAGTACTTGTCCTGTGTTTTGTTCCTTACAAGACAAAATAGTCCAGAGGTCCATCTTTCAGTTTCCTTGCCTAAAATAATTAACAGTATCTCCTAGTAGTATTATAGAGGTGTAGTATATTTTTTATATGTGAAAGTTCTAGTCCAAATTAAAACTTTGAAATACTGTGTTAAGCTTTTGGTTCTTCTAAGTATGAACACCTAAAGGAATTAAGAGTGGAGATTAACTGAAATTTAAAAAAATTATAATAGTGACATGGGAGTATATGCATACTTGCTAGCATACAAACCCAATTACACTAGATGTGTGCTATCTGAAAAAAAATATTAAAAGCAAATCTAATAGTAAACCATTTTTCCTAAGTAAACTTAGAAGTTTTCTTCTATGGATTCTTAAGCTGGTGATGCTGTATAATTTAGAAATGCATAATGGCTTTAAGACTATATTGTAAGGAATAGTCACTTTTTCATATGTAGAAACTTGTTTATAAGTCTTGGTATCGAATATAAAGTTTATAGCTAGTTGCACATCTCTTTTGCATCTAACCTACTTATGTAGCTTTCATGGTCTAGGGCTACAGTTACTCTAAAAAGAATTTAATAGTTTTTGTTTAATGTGGCACTCTTAGACTGGGCAAGTTTTGCAAGATCCCCTTTGGAGTCTTTCCTCACACTGGATAACCAGTTATACCTTAGGGAAAAAAAAAAAGAGCACTGTTGTGCTTTGAATCTTTTGGTGTCCTGATAAAATCTAAACTATTAAAGTCAGCATACAGGAGCCCTAAGGACCTGGCCTCACTTTGCCTTCTCAGACTTGACTTACATATACTCTGTATACCCTACTTTCTCCACACTAAGTTCATTGTTCCCCTGGAGCCAGCCATCCCTCTGTAGAGTGCCTTTGCTCAAGGTGTTTGGCTCAACTCCTAGCCATACTTAGTAAACAGCTGAAATGTCACCTTAGTAAAGTACTTTCAGTTCCCTCAGGGCAGACAGTTGCTATGTTTAAGGTCCCAGTAGTAGATTTCATACCTCTGCAACAGTTGCAAGATCTTGGACTCTTGTCTGCCCTCAGCTTGGGGAAAGCCTGACAGTCTCCAAGGGCCTGGCACAGCTGTGGGCAGGTGAGCCACAGGCACAGTGCTGGTTTTTCTAGGTACCTTAGTAACTTTGGAGCTCCTGACATAGCAGGAGCTCCAGAGAACTTATGATCTAAATGGAGGGATGATCTTTATACAAATAATTACAGGTAAAACTGCTAGGAGAATGGGTGTGATAATAATGAATTTGTAAGTAGGAGTTAACTTGCCAGTTAGCAATTAGATCAGAGAAATATGTGTAGGAAACATTTACATTTTTCAGCTTTTAAATGTTCACTTTTCCCAAACTATACCTGCTTAGCTGACTTGAAGAGTAAGTGTACATGATTGTAATTTCATAGTTCTTAACAGTCTTGCATTTAAAAAATCTTGAAATTTTGCCTTGCAAAGGTACGGCAAAAGTCAACAGCTATAATTTTATATAACATTACGACATTTGAGTATACTATTGGCAGCTACTCCTAAGCCACTGCTGGCAAAATATCAGTTTCTCATCTTAATATCCTCGCAAAGCTCTAAATTACTATTAAAAATTGCTTCTTGTGCTTGACTTTGTTACCTTCATTTCATAAGCTACCAGAAAGTAAGCTCCTCACTAAGGATTTTTCAGTGTTTGCCAAAGCCAGCAGGGTAGCATGGTATTAAAGGAAAAGAACCTCAATTTTATTTTTTCCTTTTGGTAGTATTGGGGTTTGAACTCAGGTGGCCTCATGCTTGCTAGGCAGGTACTCTACCCCTTCAGTAATGCCTCCAGACATTTTTTTGCTTTATTGATTCAGGTAGGATCTCGGGTTTTTGCCTAGCTGGCCTGGACCAAGGCCTTCCGCGTAGCTAGGATGACAGGTACATACCATACCTGGCTTATTTGTGGAACTGGAGTCTCAACTTTTTGCCTGGGCTGGCCTCAAACCATGAACCTCCCAATCTCCATGTCCAAGTATCTGAGCTGCCGTACTTTTTTGCATTGCTAAATTTATGGTATAGCTTATCTAATAGTCATTTTTCATTAAAATTACTCTTAAAGATCGTGCGTTTGGGAGAAACTATAAACAGTCCAGTATTTTCATGGATATGTTGTACTTATTGGAAACCACAGTGGACTGATAAAGTACAGACTTACATTACCTGATTGTATGAACAAAATAAATTGGATATATGCCACTAAAATTGTATAATCAACTTTTTCTGTTTAAGATTCTTTTTCAGCTCTTTGACAGATGAATGATAACCTCTCCACATGTGCTGTACATTGCCACAGAACAACTCTGAATTATTTTTAGGAAATAGAAAGTTCTGCCCTCTCACCCCATTTCCCTCCCGCCTTTTTTGGGGGTTGTGAAAAGAAAATCCTAGTACCTGTCATTTTGTCCCAAGGCTTAGAGAAATGTGTTACTGGATTTGGGTTGCCAAGTGATTTAAAATGCAGATAAAAGATCAGCCACCGGGAGGTTTAGAAGAACAGAGCTCAACCAGGTCAGGTGACTGACAAAATGCACAGCTTTTAGGTCTTTTCCCTCCTATGAAATGACCAATGGCCAGCTCATACCACATAGCATATAAGATAGAGCAATTCATGTGTCACTCCTCCAAATCGTTACTTATTGAAGTGGTCTTTGACCTGAACTTGAACTTGGATCATAGTGATGTGTCAATGCAGGGTTTTTTAAAAAAAAATTTATTTTATTTTATTTTCAATTCAGGTTTATCAACTCATGTATTAGAAATGACCCGAACTTGATTTTGGATTTCTCAGAACTTCTGCCCCTTGAATTCATTCTGTAAGTGACGTGGTGGTTTTAAATGATTTTGAAGATTGAAAAAGCAAGACACTTACATTATATGGCAGGGTTCATTTCTGTCTTTTAAACAATGCCCGTTTTCCCACTTCTTTTTGGTAGGAAATGAAGTTTTTATATATTTTGATCCAGCATGTGTATTTTTGACTCCACACCAAGGTGCATCTAGTTAGGCAGAAAAAGAAATATTAATGGGTTTACACTTTTCTTTTGGCAGTACTAGAGTGTGAACTCAGAGCCACAAAGTTAATACAAATGAGCTCTACCATATGAGTCACATCCACAGCCTTTCTAAGCTCTAGTTATTTTTCAGACGAGGTCTTGCAATTTTGTCTAGGGCTGCCCTTAGCTTGCAATATACCTGCCTGTAGCTCCAGCCTCCTTTACAGCCGAGATCACAGGCATACATCAGTATGCCCAGTGTATTTGTTGCAGGGTGGTGGTAAAATCATGCTAAATTTTTGCCCAGGGCTGGCTTCTAACCAGGATCCCCCCTTCTCAGCCACCCTGCCCAGAGGCTTCCTATGGCAATATAACAAAACATTTTTTTTAAGCACAAGATAAAATTCTAGGTTGCATATTAAATACTTCCCGACTTTTTTTCTGATAACAGTGTATGGACATATAGTTGGCTGAGTGTGTGCTTAGCAAGCATGAGGCCAAGTTCAATCTCAAGTATCATACAAGAATGGGAACATAAAAACATTTAACGTGAAATTTCTCTCTTGCCTCCATGGAATGTGAAGCCAGTGCCTTTGGATACTTATTTAATAGTCACAATAGCTCACATATTGTATAAGCACTGCACCTTTAACAAAATCATTTTGTTTTCATGACTACCCAAGGATTTAAAAATAATTTAGAGTGGCTCTGTCTGGACTTTGCCAAATGCCATGGTATGAGAGCCTTGAATTAAGGTGCTTAAATAGTTTTAGCTTTTAATCTTGTTTTAAGAAGTATCACTAAAAATTTTACATTAAGACAATTTAGTTTAAATTTTTGTAGTGTTATAGAATCAAGCC